AGTACAATCAGCAACCAAAAATAGTCAGATGGAAGGAAGTCAGACCTAATCCAACCTAATCCAACAAGTATAAGTATAACATACATCATCAACTGTAAGAGAGGTCAGCAGCAGGAAGCCTTCACATTCAGAGGAGCACCCCGCTGTGGGGAAGGTAGCATTATAATGATACTGTTAGCCAAAGAAGTTCACCAAGTTCCTGACCCCACTTGGCTATGCTGCTCCCATATGTACAGGCATCAATACACTTAGCAGGAAGTGAGTAGATTTATTTCATAAAGTCTTAAAATAAACAAAGTGCATCTTTAAAACTTTAAAAAGTTCGAGACCAAGGATCGATCTAAAGACACACGTTTAAATGTTCATATGATCAAAATAGGCAGGTGAACACAGCTGGAAATCTTCACATTCAAGAATGCGCACTCACCCCGCTAGGAAATGGGGTATACGTGTAGCCAATCAAAACGAATGTAGATATCCCACAGAGAGAGATGTCCTCAATCGATCTGCCTGAATCAATCACAGGCACATGTTCCTTCCAGGTACAGGTGTTCCTCCTCTGGATGTTAGCTGTGTCTGCCTACCCCTCAGTGGGGTTTAAGAAGTGGGAAAATATCATGGTGTAGTATGTCAAATATTTATTGATAGAAGTGATTAAAAGCTAGGTCAGTAATGTCACTGGCAATGTGCCATATAACACATATACAAAAGTGAAGAAGTAAGTTACTGACCCTTTAAGAGCAAGCACCCAGACCTCCTCGTGGTCTGGGTGATAAAGAGGCGTCACACAGGCTGTCAGTTCTCCTGAGGCCTTTCGTGCTAAGGCACATCTTCAGAGGGATGCTGATGCTGGTCAGCACACCCCTCTGAAGATGTGCCTTAGCACGAAAGGCCTCAGAGGAACTGACAGCCTGTGACGCCTCTTTATCACCCAGACCACGAGGAGGTCTGGGTGCTTGCTCTTAAAGGGTCAGTAACTTACTTTTTCACTTTTGTATATGTGTTATATGGCACATTGCCAGTGAAATTACTGACCTAGCTTTTAATCACTTCTATCAATAAATATTTGACATACTACACCATGAGTATTTTTTCCACTTCTTAAACCCCACTGAGGGGTAGGCAGACACAGTTACATATCATCCAAGGAGGAACACCTGTACCTGGAAGGAACATGTGCCTGTGATTGATCCATCAGCCCAGCAGATCGATTGAGGACATCTTCTCTGTGGGATATCTACATTCGTTTTGATGGTTATAATTTCCTATGTGCGGTCGGTGAGATTCTTGCCATTTCCCGGACCAGATTTCCAGCTGTGTTCACTGCCTTTTTGATCATATGAACATTTAAACGCTTTAGATCGATCCTTGGTCGAACTTTTTAAACCTGTTTTAAAGCGCTGCACTTTGTTTATTTTATTTATACCGAAGGTGGTTGTGATCATTTCAGTGCTGCTGCTTACTTGATTACTGCCCACCAAACCCAACATTGGGGATATAATTTTTGCTGCACACATGTCCAGCCCCATCTAGCCTCCATTGCACCATACCCAACATTGGGTCAGGAAGGCAGCTCAGGAAGGGGGGGGGGTGGAGAAATACAGTCAAGAGGAGGTAAAACTGTGACTTAATCTCCTAATTTTTACCAGCTCCTGGCTGCTTGTGTGAACAAGCTTTAGACCAGGGGCATGATGAAAGAATAGAACAAATCTAATAAAGCTAGGCCTACCTTTTAGGCTCCATGCACACTGGGCGTTTTAATAACGCTGGTAAGGTTAGTTGTGTAAACGCTGGTCAGATTAAAAATTAAAAACGTTAAAAAAGATTTTAAAAAGTTTTTCAGCGCTTTTTAGCGTTTTTCCTGTTTTTACGCGTTTGCGGGTTTTTTTAACCAAAAAAAGAAAGTATGCTGGTTTTCCGCAATTTTAAGCATTAGACCGTTTTTACAGCTAAAAAACTCCTCTAGAAACCCACTAATTCTGGGGTTTTTTTCCAGTCAAAAAAATGCCCCTGCTAAAAAACGTTGATTACAGTCTGTGTGCATGGACACATAGGATAACATGCTGGGGAGTTTAATGGCTGTAGAAAAAAACTTCAAAAGCCAAAAACAGCCGCTGTAAAAACGTCTACGTTGCATGAGGACTTAGTTAGCTTCAGCTAGAAGCTCTGCATTCACTTTCATTCACAATTTTTTTTCTGGGGAGTAATTGGTCACCCCAAAAAGTCTGATGAAGGAAGAACATCTGATACTGCAGGATGACTTTCTCTACTAGTTTCAGGCCTGGCTTTCTACTCTGAGTTCTGGCCAGTGTAAGTACTATATAGGGCAGTGTCCAGGGGGTAGTGTGCAGAGGTCATAAGTATGCTAGGGCAGTGTGCAGAGGTCATAAGTATGCAAGGGCAGTGTGCAGAGATCATGTATGCAGGACAGTGTAAGGAGGTGAGTAGTATGTAAGGCAGTGTGCAGAGGTCCATAGTAGGTAGGGCAGTGTACAGAGGTCAGAAGTATACAGGGCCGTGTACAGAGGTCAGTAGTGGGTAGGGTCAAGTACAGCAGTCAGAAGCATGCAGGGCGTGTACAGGGGTCAGCTGCATGCAGGGGCGGTGTACAGGGGTCAGCTGCATGCAGGGCGGTGTACAGGGGTCAGCTGCATGCAGCGCGGTGTACAGGGGTCAGCTGCATGCAGGGCGGTGTACAGGGGTCAGCTGCATGCAGGGCGGTGTACAGGGGTCAGCTGCATGCAGGGCGGTGTACAGGGGTCAGCTGCATGCAGGGCGGTGTACAGGGGTCAGCTGCATGCAGGGCGGTGTACAGGGGTCAGCTGCATGCAGGGCGGTGTACAGGGGTCAGCTGCATGTATGGCGGAGGACAGAGGTCATAAGCATGTAGGGCAGTGTAAAGAGGTCAGTTGTAGGTAGCGCAGTGTACAAAGGTCAACAGAATGTAGGGTAGCGTACAGAGGTCAGCAGGATGTAGGGCAGCGTACAGAGGTCAGCAGGATGTAGGGCAGCGTACAGAGGTCAGCAGGTTGTAGGGCAGCGTACAGAGGTCAGCAGGTGTAGGCAGCGTGCAGAGGTCAGCAGGTTGTAGGGCAGCGTACAGAGGTCAGCAGGTTGTAGGGCAGCGTACAGAGGTCAGCAGGTTGTAGGGCAGCGTACAGAGGTCAGCAGGTTGTAGGGCAGCGTACAGAGGTCAGCAGGTTGTAGGGCAGCGTACAGAGGTCAGCAGGTTGTAGGGCAGCGTACAGAGGTCAGCAGGTTGTAGGGCAGCGTACAGAGGTCAGCAGCAGGTAGGGCAGCGTATAGAGATCAGTAGTATGTAGGGTAGTCTATAGAGGTCAGTAGTATGTAGGGCAATGTTCAGAGATCATTAATAGGTAGGTCAGTGTACAGGGAAAAAGCAGGGCAGAGAACAGGGCAGTGTACTGGGGGGTCAGGAAGGCACAGTACAGGGTGCTCAGGAGAGCACGGTATTGAGGGGGGGGGGGTCAGGAGGGCATAGTACAGGGTAAGTAGGTGAGCATGGTACTGGGGGGGTCAGGAGGACACAGCACAAGGGTGGTCAAAAGAGCACATTACTGAGAGCTCAGGAGGGCACTTGATGCAGAATTCAGCCTTGTCCACTGGCAGTCTCCCGTAGAATTTGACAGGCTGCAGGCAGCTTGGCTGGACACCGCACTTGTCTCTCCTGGACACAATAAAACACTGGGAGGGATGCACTGCAGCTAGACCGTCGAATGCACAGGGGGCCTAACAATCAAGCAGAATTCATCTGTCACTGTAAACTGACATCTAAATGTTGCTGTGGACAATAGGAGCATGTTTCCTCAGACAAGTCACTTTTCTTTTTAAATTGTTGTATGGTCAATATAGAGTAAGTGCAATACAGTTTACTAGAAACACACAAAAAAAGTTGTTAAGCCTGTTACTGCATTAAATAAAAGAAAAAAAATGTGGGTAGAGGCAGCACTTTATCGCTTAGGGCTGATGCTATACTTTATTCTTTAGCTGTGTGGATGAAAGGGTTGGCTTGGTTTTCAACAAATTCAATACTGTTTGTGAAATATGAGCGAGACTTTTTCCTGTAGACTCTTTTAGAAAGTTCTATTATTGTTATTTTTTGTTAGCTGAATACTGGTTAGTAAAGATAGAAGTACTGTAGTTGTAATACTAGTGAGTCCTTGAGCAAGATTAGTTTACATATACAGTATATCTTGGAAAAGAAAAAAGTTCCTTTTTTAGTGCAATTTAAAAGATGTGAAACAGTTATGCATTGCTGTGCATTAGGCCCCATTCACACCCAAATAAGGGAGAAAAAAAAAATCAATGCATCTCTATGGTGGTGGCTCACATCTCCACTCCAAACGGCCTGAAGCCAAACACCTGATACTCAAAAAAGTTATGGATCTACTTTTGTAGCTCGATTCGGAGAGATGGGTGTGTTTTTGAGCCCCATAGGATTGCATTGGTGCATGAAAAAACACACACAATGCATATCTTGTTGCACATTTTAAGCTGATGTGTCTACACAGCAACAATTGATGTCACAGATGATACTGTCCTCTATAGGACAATGCAAAAACACCTGAAGCATAAACGTTGTAAAAAAACGCAGTGCTCAGGTGTGATGCAGCCTTTAGGAGTGTCATTTTTATTAGATAAGCAGTGCACCTTAAAGTGAAACTAAAAACATATTGTTTAATTACATGGTACCTGCTGTTTTTGTATGTGGATGATGGCAATGTAATTATTTTAATTAACCACTAGCCTACACAGCACTTATACCACCTTACTGCCCAGGCCAATTTCCAGCTTTCAGCGCTATCACACTTTGAATGACAATTGCGCAGTCATGCAACACTGTACCCATATGAAATTATCATTTTTTTGAGAGAGCTTTCTTTTGGTGGTATTTAATCACCTCTGGGATTTTTATTTTTTTTCTTAAACCAAAAACCACTGAAAATTTTGGGGGAAAAAAAATGTTTTTTCTTAGTTTTTGTTATACAATTTTGTAAATAAGTGATTTTTCTCCTTCACTGATGTGCGCTAATGAGGCTGCAGTAATGGGCACTGATAGGCTGTACTGATGGACACTGATAGGTGACACTGGGCACTGAAAGGCAGCACTGATACATGGCACTGACTGGCGGCACTGACTGGCGGCACTGACTGGCACTGATGGCTGACATTGAAAGGCAGCTCAGATGGGCACTGATATGTGGTATTGATGTGCACTGGTATGTACTGATATGTGGCACTGATGGGCACTGGCACATGGCACTGATGAGCACTGACTGCTGGCACTGATGGACACTGACAGGTGGCACATTTGGGGCCACACTGATCATCACGGCACACTGATCATCAGTGCCCTGATGATCAGTGTACATGTCCCCTCCACAGAAAGCCGATTACCGGCTCTCCTCTCCTCTCGAGTTGTCAGCGTGACAGCTCAAGAGGAGAGAAATGCAGATAACCGGCATTTCCGTGTTTACATGTGATCCACTGTGATTGGACACAGCTGATCACATGACCGAGCCAACATCTTCGGCTCTTTCCGCGATCCGCTGTGTCTGAGGGACACAGCGCACCAGCGATCGCCGCGCTCTCCCTGAGCCGCGTATGGACGATGAGAATGGAAAGACGTCATATGACGTCCTATCAAAACGAGAGAACCACCTTGCGCCCGTCATTGTACTATATGGCGGGCGGTGGTTAAAAAAAAAAAAAAAACGCATCTATATACCTTTTTTCCTTATCGATATACAGCTGTCACGTGACCCAGCTCTTTTCCAGCCTGTCTGCAATGAAACAGTGGCAGGAGGAGCTTCTATTCTTCTGCTGTTGGTCACATGTTCAAAATGAAAACAAATAGTCTTTAGGATACAAAGTAAAAATATCAATAAACTGTCATCACACATCTACATATATTTGAAATCAAATCTTTATTTTATTTTTGGCAATAATAACATGGTGCGGGCAGATTTCTGCCAGTCACAGGCTGTGTCGTGCCTCTCCAACCTATGTCTTAGAACACTACAGAGGTGAAGCCTCCATCAATCTGCATGTGATATCCCACAATCGTGTTTAACTAGCTAGTATGCATGGAGGAGGAGATGGAGGGAGTGGGTGGGCTGTAATTTACCACTGTGTATACACCCACATGCGTGACTCTATAGTCACATGGGCTGCTCAGATGTGATAAGGAGTAAATGATCAGAATAGAAACTCACTGAAAACTGTGCATGCACTAGCTGCCAACACTGCTCTGCAAAATCTCCAAATGTATTGTGGACATAGACAAGAGGGGGAGCCAGAGAACAGCAGGATCAACCAGGTTATTTGCAGAATACAGAAAATGAATCCCATAGTGACTGAGTATGAACAGCATGTAATACAGCATTTATCGATGGCTTTTAGTTATGTGGGTTTATGTGGGTTATGTGGGTTTCACATTTAGGCTACATTCACACCTGACAGAGCACTTTAACGCATTTTATGCATTTTTCAAGCATTGATGCTTCAGGCGTTTTTGTTTTTAGCCAATGGAAAGCACCAGGGGGAGGAGACCAGTTCTTATAGGCTGAATATGTCAGAAAAACACATTTGATGTGCTCCCATTCAAGTCTGTGGGTCCAAATACAGCCAGATCTGCCCCAAAAGTAGCTCATGTAGTTTTCAGAGCTTGAGGCTTTCAGCTACAGGCACCTTGAGCACCCATATATGAACAGTCACCATTGCAAATAATACATGGGATTTTGGATGTTGAACATTTGGTGCTTGGGCTGCAAAACTCCCAGGTGTGAATGGGGCCCTAAAAACAGACCTGAACCTTTTTTTTTTTTTTTTTTTTCCTTTTATTTGCTCTAACATGCCTTGTTCACTGATGTGCATTAAAGCACAGTGTAACACATAGCTCTAATATGCATTGTGATGCATTTCCCAAAAATCGACATGTACCTTTTTTTTGGGGGGGGGGGTTTCTTTTTTTAGACGCAATAGTGCTTTGATTGCCCAAAATAGTGCCCTCAAAGATGAACTGCACAATCTGGTTGCTATGGGAAGCATGAGAGACTTTGTGATGGAAAGATGTTAGCTACACTGACCCTAAGACCCGGCTTGGGGGGCTGGCAGGAACCTATAGTTAGCACTATGTGGGAGGAAGTATTGTGGTACACTGTGGCGAAAAGTAAATGTGATTTCTCTAAGGCCTCATCCATATAGGAACTATGGCCCCTACAGCATAAATAAGCCATCTGTTTATGCAGCTGGAGTTGGTGGGAGCTAAGTCGCTTTGTGGGGACACTGGAGAGGATGTATAGATCAACCCAACCTGCAGAGACTGTTGGGTGGAATTTTTCAACATAGTAGCATGTTTCAAAATAGGTGTGGTTTAGTCCGTGAGGTCCGTGAACTACGTTTTCTTTTTAGTCATTTGCACATTTTATTTTGTGATTTGTCTTGTTTATTACAACACCAACTCTCTATGGGCCAAGTCATGCTGAAGTTATTTACAAATGAAATAAAGTTTTATTTTTCAAATGTATATATTTAATGCAACACTACCAAAGCAAATGAATAAAACATACAGGAAAAAAGGTTACATGCATATGGTTATTAAAAAAAAAAAAAAAAAAAAATTAAAGGTAGCTAAGTATAAAACTAAACTTTCTTTTTCCCCAAAAAAAAATCTTTCAGAGCATCACCTGACAGATTGGTGCTCCTCCCTACAAACACAGGAAATACTCCCACTCTGGTCTTTAAATGGAAGCTTCTCCCCACAGGTTCTCATTTATCATGTTTCCTCTGGAGGTGCAGGAACACTAAGAACTTGCACTGTCTATTAGAGAGCTTTTTTCTTACAATTTTCCCAGATAGAATTTTCCTACAAACACACCCAGGTTTTGTTCTGAAGGTTTCATCAGTTTACCACTGCTCCTAGAACATAGTCATTCTGACATTTTTTCCCAATCTGCCTGGGGGAGAGTCTTCATACCCTGTACGTACGAAGATCAGTCTTGCATTATTTGGAGGTGACAAAAGGTTTTAGGAGCTCTGACAACTTTTTAATTTTGTATGCTGGAATAAAAAAGGGTCAAAAAGCCACCAAAGGAGCCATAGCCAGATGACTAAGGACTCGAGTCTGGACCCTCTGTTGGGAATTCATGCTGATTCCACAAGAGCTCTTATATCCACTTGGGCAGAGAGGACTGGTCCTACCCCAGAACAAATCTGCAAGGCAGCAAAGTGGTCAAGCTTATCCACCTTTGTTTGTCATTACAGACTAGATTTGTTATCAACTGAGAATCAAGCCTTTGGCAGGAAAGTTTTACAAGTAATATCCCACCTACAGTGGTAAGTTCTTGTTTATCCTCACAGTTGTTGTCCTGAAAGGTGTTTTGGGAAAAATTCAAGTTAGACTTACCAGTAACTTGTTTTCCAGTAGTCTTTCAGGACAGCAACAATTGCCCACCCACATGCTGTTTATATGAGGTTGTGTTTGTGTTCCAGTTGGACCAGAGGTACTCTAGTACAACAAAGGACCTGAGGGGAGAAGTCTCCATTTAAAGTTGAGTTGGAGTGTTTCCTGTGATTGGAGGGAGGAGCCACGATTTCTCAGTCCTGAAAGTCTACTGGAAAACAAGTTAAGGGTAAGTCTAACTTGAATTTTCTTCTTTTACACTTGCAGATTTGCTGGAGTTTAATTTGTTACAATTTGTTACAATGTACTGATACATTCTACTTATAGGGGCCTATTTATAAAGCAGTAAATTTGACAATCAACAAACTTTCACTGTGCGTGAACCTTCCAGAGGCATGTGTTTTAAACAATAGTGATTGATTCACAGTTAGTGAATGTTTGGTCAAAATCGCATTCACTGCTTTACAATAATGCTCCTATTGTTGGAGGGTTTGGTCACATGGGAGCTGGTGACTACTGCTGTCAGTGAACCTAATAAAATGTGATTTGGTTTGCTATGCACAGTGTCCAGACTGGCCTCTTTAATTGCAAAAAAAAACAGATATTGGATTTAAAAACTGTAGGAAGAAGCTATACCAGAGCTGTTTATATAGTTGGTGAGGACATGACATCCTGTCAGCTAGGATGCAGCCTTTCAAAAAAAAAGTTCTGTCAATTGCAACAAAGCATAATGAAGAAGCCATGTCCAGGCACTATATCCTGACTGTAGCAATAATAGGCGTCAGATTAGTTAAAAAGATATTAAATCCCAATATGTAATATATTGCAGCTTACCAATCATTAGATGTGGCGGATGCATTTGTTTTCTTTTATTAGGCTCCTTTTCCCCCCTCTGTTTTCACCTAGTGATCCATGGCAGTAACACACTTGCTGTCAAAAGGGATCTTTCATATGGGCAGCAATAAAAACAAGCAAGTGAGCTGTGGCTATGCCACCCAGCCAAATCCTAACAATAAAGCCAGAGAGGGCTGTACATATGCCTCGACCACAATGCTTTGTGACACAGCCTGTCAAACTCACACTTCGAGGTCAATGAGGCTGATCTGCAACTGCAATCCAAATGCTTGGCTCCCATTTGCAATGCAGTTCTGCGATGTAAAATTGCTCCTGGGGCTGTTAAAATAAGTTACAAAAAAAATCAAGCTTACTGGCAGGATCACCAGGTGAAAAAAAAAGAAAACTAAAGCAGCCACTGCATCAAAGAAATACGTTTTATATTTGAGTTTAATACCTCCTTAAACACTGATGCTAGCTATTGCACAGAAAATTTTTCTAGAAATATCAACCACTTTTAACCAGATTTGATCACAAATGCAAATGGATCAAGGCAACCTACCACCTTTCCTAAAATTGTATAGAAACGATTTGTGTCAGGGGGAGTGGCTTGGTGCGTGAGCCTCATGGCAGCACACTGACAGAGCTCCGGGGAGCAGACCAATTCAGAGCCACTTAACGGGTACGCAGCGGGGCGATCATGGGCAAGATAGTCAAGCCCACATTGCACAGTCACCCACCCCACTCAAATTCCGTGTCTTCAGCCAGATCCCTGAACTTTTCCAAAGAAGAGGGACACAGAAGAGCTGTTCTGCAGGGGGCAAGATGGCGTCTGTACAACATGAGGAAGACCACAGTGAGGAGTCCCTGCCAGCTTCTGAGGACATGGTAAGCGAGAACACTCACCCTGATCCACCTCTCGCTTACTCTGAGATGACACAGATCACTGCAGATCTTAAAAGATCGTTCAACATCTATCACTGATCTGAAGGAAGACTTTCTTACTCTCTCTGAGCAAATGACAACACTTCAGAGAGATGGCACACAGAGCGATTTCTAGGCTAG